ATATATATATATATATATATATATGTATATATATGTATATATATATATATGTATATATACATGTATATATACTGGAACATAATAAAACAATAAAAAGCTACATAAAACATGGATGAATCCCACAGATACAGCATTGAATGGGAGAAACCAGGCACAAAAGAGTACATATTGAATAATTTGTATTTACAAATTTAAGAACAGGCAAAAACTAAGTGATCGTGATAGAAGTCAGAACAGTGATTATCTCTGGGAGTGGAGTGGGGATGACTAAGAATGATCATGAGGGAAAGATATGGGGTGCTAAAAGTATATAATACCTCATGTGGATGGAGGCTAACATAATGCAGGCAAATATTCATCTAGTTGTAAACTTAAAATCAGTACATTTCACTGTATGTCATCTTATAATTTCATAAGCTTTCCTTTAATAATAAAATTTTCATCATTCCTACCTGCCTTTTATCAATATTATATCTAAATTCAAATTTATTTACTCATGTCCTATTTAGTCTATCAAAAATAAATGATTAATTCCATCTCAGCCCACATCATGCCAGGGGCTAAAGGCTTAGCACTGAATGGGGGCATCCACGGTTGCTGCCCTCGGACAGCCCAGTAGGAAAGGCAGCCGTGAAGAAAATAATTATAAAATGACATGTATGCCAAAGGAAGTACGAAACCCAGGGTACCAGCCTAATCTGGGAGGTTAGGGAAGGAAGTATCATTTAACTGGCACATGAAGAATGAGCTGACTCTAACTAGATGAGGAATACGTGCTAGAGGGAAAAGCATGTGCAAAAGCCCTGAGGCAAGAAAAGTGTTCCCAGCATTGAAATAGATGCGTTTGGAGCTGGGAGAGTCAGGGGAAAGGTAAGCAGGGGCCAGAGAGATATTAAGTCAGTCAATGAGAATAATGCAGCTGTTCTGATACTCATGACAATTTCAAATTAGAGATTATTTCAAATTTGCTTGGAGCTCCTGCAGTCTTACATCACTGTCAACACCCAATTGATTATTTTATTGTGGTTGTCTGGTATTGAAAAAAGTCCAGATTAACATGGACAAATGGTTACAAATGATTTTTAACAGCCTAGCTAGCAATCCCAGGGGACTTCATGATGAGCTAGAGATGGCAGGAGATGCTTTACTCCAAGTTTGAAATACAACAGCAACAAAAACCGAGGTGACAGCACAGGCTAACCTAGTTTGTACAGTAGGGATCGCATGATGTCAACTGCTGATATAGAAGAAAATTACATGTGTATTGTATCTTTAATTACATTTTTAAAGACATACCGAAAATAATTTTAAAATGATATTCTTTTTTTTTTTTTTATATTTCTTTTTTTTTATTATTATTTATTTATTTATTTTTTTTATTTATATATGAAATTTATTGTCAAATTGGTTTCCATACAACACCCAGTGCTCATCCCAAAAGGTGCCCTCCTCGATACCCATCACCCACCCTCTCCTCCCTCCCACCCCCCATCAACCCTTAGTTTGTTCTCAGTTCTCAACAGTCTCTTATGCTTTGGCTCTCTCCCACTCTAACCTCTTAAAATGATATTCTAATAAAATTTTTGTAGAAACCCGGAGGCACTCACTTTGAAAACCTCTGGTGTAGCCAAAAGATTCTGACTGGAATTCTCATCTTGATCCTGTCTATACAGATTTGGGCAAGTCACAGCCTTCCTTTCGGTCATTGATGACATGGTGCGTGTTCTGCCACTCCAGCTGTCCTGGTCTCAGGAGCTCATGTAGGGCAGACTCCTGGTCGCCTTGCTCAGAGAACATCCAGTTTCCTTCTGGAGGTACTGCGGCCAGCACTGGAGCCTGAATGCTGATTGGTCAAAGCCTCTCAAGCTAATCCCATTCCCTTTGGCCATGTGTTCATTTCCCCCAGCCTCCTTTGCAGCTGAAGATGGCCATGTGACACTTCTAGACAAGGAATTACAAAGGAGAAATATGGGAGGGTGCTTCTGGGGAATCTTTTCCTCTCTTATATAAAGAGAACACTTCACAGGAGAAACCCCTTTTCTTCCTTCCTCTTTTCATCATGCTGTCATGTGAGGTGTTTTTGTTGTTGTTTTGTTTTTGTTTTTGTTTTGTGCCAATGCACTCATCGTGTGAGCATGAGGAGAAAGGTAACAGAATTACCCACCTAGCACTCTGGCATCTTGGAGCAGCTCAGCTGTCATTGCTACCACCCACATCCAGCATTGCTGTTACGTGACAAAAACAATGAAAAACTCCTATTGCCTGAGTTAATGTTAGGCATTCAATGAATTGCAGCCAGAGTCATCTCAAATGATATAGTGTGATATGAAGTTTTTCCAAATTGAGTGGCTAAGCGAAGCCTCATGAGCCAGTCCCAAAGAATCTCACTATATTCTCCTCCTCTGGATCCATGTGGTAACATCATCCTCTAGATGACATAGCCTTATAATAAATAATCTAAGTCATTAAACTTCTTTGGGAATAAATGTGATATAATACAAAGCACACGAACCTTGGAGCCTGACAAACCTGGACTTGGATCCAAACTCTACAAGTTAGAAATTGTGTGATTTCAGGCAAGTACCTTAGTCTTTCCAAGCCTCAGCTTCCTCATCTGAAAAATGGGGATAATAATAAATCCTGCCTCAGAGAATTGTTAGTGGTATAAAATCATCTGAGACATATGAAGTGACTGGAACACTGGCCCATGCATTGAAAAATGTTGTAAAATGTCTACTATGCTCTGCCTCCTACTCATCATCATCACTTCTTTCTCTTCTACTTGAAATTCCAGAGAATTTAAAGACAGCCTTTGCTATGTCAAATGTCATTCTATATCAGTCTTTCTGATTCCTAAGAAACAGAGGAGATAGGAGTTAAAATCATTCAGAATGTACTAATAAATAGAACTATTATTTTACTAGGTAATGCTTTTAAAGGGTTTCAAAGTCATCAGAAGGAACGTATATAAAAATACAAGTTCTAGCACATTAACTCATATTTCCTATGAGAATTTATTTTTTGAAAGTATGAGCAGAATCTTCAGAAGTATTTTCATTTTTACTTATTTTTTAGGTATTTTCATTTTTTAAAAAGTTGATTGTTTTAAAAAATACAAGTTAATTCTTATCACTGTACTTGTTTATGCATGATTAAGAAGACTAACCAGACTTATTTCCAGATTTATCTTTTTTATTTATTTTTCTTTATGTTTATTTTTGAGAGAGAGAGAGACAGACAGACAGAGCACAAGCAGAGAAGGAGCAGAGAGAGGGGGGACACAGAATCCAAAGCAGGCTCCAGGCTCTGAGCTCTCAGCACAGAGCCCGATGCAGGGCTTGAACCCAGGAACTGTGAGGTCATGACCTGAGCCGAAGTAGGACACTTAACTGACTGAGCCTCCCAGGTGCCCCTCCAGATTTATTTTAAATTGATGGTTTATGGGGTATCAAACACAAGAATTATTATAACTCCTTGCTATAACACAAAATATACAGTTTTATAAACAAATTCCCATGTGTCTACTTTAATTGCAGTCCTGCCACCAGAAAGTTATTAACAATTATAACTTTGGTAATTAAATGGCCACAATGGAGAGTTCCTTTATATCCCCAAAATACAAATCTTAAAAATAATCAATTAATTCCTAGCACTCAACTAACTAAAAATGGCTTGGCCCAAGTACACAAGGTTGATTGACACTATGTCGTAACAGTTGCTGGGTTGAATGATTCGGTCCAAGGCTTGGACTAGCATGTTATTCAAAGGAAATACTTTTGATGTCTGAAATTAGCTGATAAGTAATATCCAGACACATTTTCCTCTTATTACACTGGAAGGCTAACACAGGAAAAACTCCTTCATTCATTCACTTATTCAGTAAGTTGTTTTTTGTATTTTGTTTTTTGTTGTTGTTGTTGTTTTGAGAATGTACCATGAGACAGGCACTGTATTAAGCCCAAGGGACCTAAAGGTGAATTAAAAGGACAGGGTAATTGTTCTCACAGAGCTTACCTCAGCCCCGTGGGGACATGGAAAGAAAATAGTTTCCATATGTTCGAGTGTGATATGGCCCAGTGGGCAGTACAATGTACTGCGGAGAGCTTGCTAGGGACACTTAAGCTCATGTAGGGGAGGGAGGGACATGGAAGCTGAGCTCTGTAGTGTCCAGCAATGAATCCAATTGGAGAAAGAGGGGGAGGGACAGAGTGGGGAGGCAGTAATCCCAACAAATGAAGCATACAGTTTTGGGAGTTCAGTAAGAGCTGTATACAAGCCTTACAGGGAGGCGACAGCCTAGAGTTTCTTACTGATCTTATAAGAACTAGAAAGTACCCTCTTAGACATCAAGCCAAGGATGCTGCATAAAAGGACCTCTCCTTTTTAATTTCCACAGAACAAATGAAATGTATAATCGCCACAGAGAAGAAGAGAGACTTATTTGGTACTGCTGACCAAGCACAGTACCCCATCTGTGTGGTTAACACAATTAAATATAACTAAGCATTCATGTTCTAATAAGGGCAATGATAGCAAACCTATGAAAAGCTCTACCTCTGTTAAGGGATAAGTAAGTGACATATGGATAGGATGACCATACCTCCCAGTTTTCCCAAGACAGTCCCAACACACGCCCGGGTCCCTGCATTAGTATTAATAATGCCTCCATTCACTCTCAGGAGTAACCTGGGTTGGATGATAAATTAGATCCCATGGATCCAAAAACGGGATGGTCTCTATAGACTAGGCTGTTGGGAGAGGTTTCACAGGACCAGTGGGATTTGTAGTGTGACTCCACAGCAGGGTGGGCGTCAGTAAGAAGAGCCAGTTACAGCTGAAGATCAAATGCAAACCAAGAAGAGGTACCTGCTGAGTGCTCACCATTTCTATGAATGAGAAATCTATTCATTCATTCCCTTACTCATTCAACAAATACCGACAGAATACAAACTCCACACCAGACACAATTCTCATAGTGTGAGGCTGGGGGGAGAGGCAGAATTAAAAAAAAAAATTAACAAATAAGTAAGCTGGATATTTTCAGACAGTGATAAGTGCTCTGAAGAAAATCCAAAAAGGTGATGTGTCAGTGAGTACCTGGAAGGTGACTGCTCTAGACAAGGCTCTCTGAAGGGCTGGCCTGTGAGTTCTGACCTGAATGAAAAGAGGCAGTCACCCATGAAATGATCTGAGGAAGCATTTAGGGCATATGGAGAAAGATGAAGGCCAAGGCCCAGGTGCAGGGCTAAGCTTGGTCTGTGGCTGGCAGGAGTGATCAAGGGGGAGAGTGACAGTCACAGGATTAGGCAAAGCAGGTGAGGCTGGGCATTGCAGCTCAGAGGAAGTGTGCACAGGATTGCAAGTGCAAGGGGAAGCCATCTGGACAAAAAACAGGCAAGTAACTTCACCTGAATAGTGTTTTAAAGAGGTCACTCTGGCTGTATTGGGGCAAACAGAATGTCGGGGAGCAAAGACGGGGCAAGGAGACAATTAGGGACAAAAAGATGATGGTGGCTGCTTAGCCCGGACAGTTGCAGGGGCAACAGGTAACTGGATCCCAAATATCTTTTGGAAGTAAGCTGCCAGGGTTTACTGCAGGTTTTCTGAGGCCGAGAAGGTGAGGAGTGAGTGGTAGAGAGAGATGAGGAATCATTCCTGGATTTGGCTTAAAATTGCGTGCATAGATCTATCACTACAATTACTGAAACGTACGCGCCATTCTACTTTCAAGTGCCCATTCATATTTTGATCAAAGAGCAACCAACCCTGACAATGGGAAATGCTGATTCAAACTATGAACTCTTAGGACAAAACCCATGTCAAATTCATCTTTTCATCTCCTATGGTGCCTAACTGTGCCACTGCACAATAAATGCTCAAGAAAATAATAATAAATGAATGAAAGCCTTCTATGTGAATTAGTCTAGATATTTCAGAAAAAAACATCTAGAGGGATATATGGTAACTCTGATCGCTAAGCAACTAGTTCATTTGTTGTCTCATTTGTGGTTCATTTACACCTTTAACACATATTTATTTCCAGGTTACTTTGTGCCAGGCATTGCGCTAAGCACCTACTTAGAGAGTGCCAGTATCAGGGCAGAAAAAAATTTGATGACAGCGAATGACAAAGGACTATGATCTGGACTGAAAGTCAAGGAGGGCTTCCCTGAGGAAGAAACTCTGCAGCAAAGTGCTGAAGGCATAAACTTGGCAAGAGTTAAGTTCATGCAAAGAGAGGACCCGAAAGAAGCCCTTTTGGCCGGAGCAGATGGGCCCTGGTGGCCAGTGACGAGATGTAACTGACAGGAGCCAGAAGCAGCCTCTGCAGGACCTTGTAGGCAGGAACCACTGAAGGGTTCAGAGCAGGTGAGATGTGACGAGGTTGCATTTTGAAGAGACCAACCTGACTGCTGGTGGTAAACAAGGAGATTGAAGGAGGCCAGCCAAAGGGTGACACCTGGTCACATCCTTTTTGCAGCCAATTAATATTCTTCACCCAATCTATGAATGTAACAGAGTCTGAATAGTTGTCTTTGGAGAGCTTTGGACGAAAAAGGAGGGAGGAGGATGGGGAGGAGGAAGAAGGGGGAGGGGGGAGGAGGGGAAAAAAGCAATATAGGCAAGAAGCTCAAATATTTGGCATGTAATTTGAAATACCTAGGTAATATATTCGAGGCTTCTCCAGATATCCAACTCCAGGATAAACTTTTTGCAATTTCACTATCAATGAAACAGCTAAGAAAATGCCGTTACTTTTTTAACTTTAATTTTAAACTAACAGCCTTTCCCCCCATTCTAAGAGTAATGCATGTTCACTATAAAAATTTTAGGAAGTGAGGGAAGAAAGCAGGAAAAAAATACCTTTAGTATCTCTCCAAAATAGCTGCTATTAATATTTTATTATGTTTCTTGGCATACTTTTTACTAAGCTTTCTCCTCCTCCTCCTCCTTCCCCACAGATTTGTTATCACACTGTCTATATGATTTTCTTTACTGGTCTTTTCACTTAATATTATAACAGAAGCATGAGAAATAAAAACTGTCTCTTCCTGACTATCCAAGATCTCAGGTAACCCTATTTCTCCTCTTTAACCAAGTATGTGGCCTAGAGGTGACACAGGATGAAGTGCTGGTCTCCTGTGAGTCCCAGCCTTGGCAAACCTTTGGAATATTTATTTATTTCCATCACTGACAGAACTGATTACCCATTAGCTTCTCAAGGAATTGCTATCCCACTGGAGAGGAGATGTCAAAAGCTACTAAAAATTTCAGCAGCCAACTTCTTTTACATCACTGAGCTGGCCATATACGTCATTCAAACAGCTGTACTGTGATACTCCAAAGACAGAATCTAAGCGTGTCATCATTTCCAAATGTTAGAACGTTAATGAATCCATAAAGTTCTATATACTTCATTGTATTTACGAAAATGGTTCCAGTTTTAAGAAAGGGTTGCCAGCCAAATGAAAGACATCCTAGAAGCCCTTTCCCTTGTTGGACTTGGTGGATTGAATAACAACATCATTTCCTTTGCCTGAGAAATAAATGAAATCACAGTATGCTAAGTTGCACATATTTTTCATTAGCACTTAGCTACCGTGTCTATACTAAGATCCATTTATCTCGTACGTTTTTTTTTTTTCTTTTCAGATAAAACTTCCAAATGCTTACATTTCACTGCATATTGGTTGATTGGATAATTTGAACATCAAAGGAAACTTTCATTTAATATAAGCCGCAAAGTTGTCTTTTGCTTTATTAACTCTCGATCAATAAACAAGCAATTTGGAAATGTAATCAGGAAATGCTTCCGATTGGCTGACAATGTATCAAAGCCAGGCTTCAAGGCAACAGCAGGCTGTAACAAGCAGTTTATTACCAGTAGCTGTTACTGACATTAGTCAAAACCAAGAAAGATAAAATGGAATAAGAAATGTAATGCTGGAGGAGCCTTGGGCGCTGTGTTCTCTTCTTCCTTTTGAAAACTGCAAGCCTGTCTTTGATATGATAACAAATATAAACTGTTTAAAAACACCAAATGCAGAAAAACTGAGCCTAGCCTGTCATGGAGTTAATCCATTCCAGAGTGACACACAAATAGTGTAACATCCAGCAGATATATGTTATGGAAATATTTTGAATTGGATTTACATGTAGTGAGCAAATTGGAACTTTTGATTTTTGCCAGATATTGTAATATGCATGTTCTCATATTAACAGAATGTAATCCTATTTGAAGATAATGAGTTTTCAACAGGCTCTGCAATTGGAAGCGACGTGAAAAAAATTGTTTGGTTTTTAACTAGAGATGGGAGAAGAGAATTCGACCCTAAATTTGCAAGGTAGCCTCACTTTTATATCAGTCAGCAGCATGTTATTTTGCCCTCGGTTACTGCTTACCAAGAGATTTCTGGAATTGACGCGTTTTAGGCTTTCCCCCCTTTATCTCTGGACTGTCCATCGCCATAGGCAAATAGCAAGGAGTGGAGCACTTGACAGGGATTTTTCTTTGCACACATCACTTCTTATAGTCATTCTAGATGGTCTATGCATATCTTTCAGACAATTAAAACAGGAGAGAGGGGGAAATATCCTTTACCTTTGTTGGTTTGAAAACTCCTTTAGATATTGAACACAGATTCACAGAATTATTTTTCATTGCATTCAGAACATGATAAGCCACACTGATAGCAAAATCAAATAGACTTAACACAAAGGGGAGATAAAAAGAACCAAGAAGGGATTCTATTTTTTATTGCTTTTGGAGGCATCTCTGCCTTGGCACGTTGGGCATGCTGAGCATACGTGCCTTTTCATCACTATGTGAGGAGTTTCCCCTCAAAGAGCAGTCAGAGATCTCCATATTTCAAAATAAATAAAATACATATTGTTTGATGAGGCTTTCCTTTAGGGGCCTATAGATCGAAATGAGTCTGTGAGACCTGGCTGGTGGATTGTACCAGGGTTACTGACCATAATTTCCATCTACTCTTTTTCCAGTGTTGAGGCACATTAGATAGTAATTTTCTCTGAATAACTAGCTGGCCACCTGCCCAATTTGCCCTCAACATCTAAACACACTGAAGCATTATAAAAACTCCTCTGAGGTAAATGGTCCTTAATTTGGTGTATGGGTACTTAAGACTTAGTTTGATTACCTCACTATTGAGCCATATGCTATGCATCTCAAAACATTCCTTTTGTTTGTTTGTTTGCTTGCTTATAGATTCAGATGTATTTTATAATTAAAAAAAAAACTATGCATATGCAGGGTTACAATTTTTTTCTATTGTGACAACTCCTATAATGATGAAAGCAAAACCTCTGTGCTGATTTGGTCAGTTGGTTTCAAATGACAGCTGTGTTTGAATTGATTTAAATCAGCTGAAATTTTCAATCATTTGGCATATTACAAATATTAGGAAAAATAGTTTAATGAATGGCTGCAATTCGAGATTCTCATTAGATTCGACCAAGCAATTCTAAAGTGTCTTTACTTATAGTAACCTTATTTTTTCCCCTAAGGTACTTTGAAATCACATTAAAAAAAACCAAACAAGATATTTTATTGGATACTGATGTCATAAAATGTCACACACCTGTTAAACATCATTATAGGATATTATTTGTATTCTCTAATTCTAATGATAGTTGGATTTTAAAAACTCAGCTTCTGATTCACAGAGAAGGGGAAAGTTTCATCAGTACTCTTATGACCTTACCAAAACTTAAAATGTTTGTTCTTTCAGAAGTAGCAATAATAACAGTCTCCCCAGCCTTGTGGTGCAAGACTGAACAAACAGTCCAGACTTAGCCAAAGACATCGTGAGGAAGAAGTATGTACCACCAATGATGAACACAGCCAGAAACAGAGATAATGCCAACATACATTTATCCCTCCCTTGTTTCTGATGCTCACTGTGCATACCACTTAACATATATGAATATCAGTGGGAATGTGAAAGTAAAAAATTATTTTAAGTAGATTTATCATTCATCTAGTAATACCTGAAGACTAAATAAAAGAATTCAGCAGTTTAACAGTGCTAGATTTCTTTTGAGATTGATCCAAAAAAGTCTATGTGAGGTTATTTATATCACCTGCAGCTTTGTGCCTCTACACAAAATGTGGGAATATCAATGTTGAAACAAAACTTGAGAGAGGAAACATTAGATATTGTGTAAAGAATAAAGAATGTCAATTGCTTCAAGACCAAGGGCAGTGCAGTGCTAGAGAGAGAGAAGAAGCACAAATGGTGTCATTTATTAGTTCTAGAAGATTACGTGACGTTTCACTGCTTTCACTATGCTTAATAGAGAGTGAAGCAATTTGTTATGAAAGTGGTTTGTCTGGGATAAGAAGGAGTGTGGAGGCAGTGGCTATGAAGATTACTTTGTAATATTACTTTGTAATATTCTCATTTGTGTATGTAAGAAATAAAGAACATCATCGGTTAACATTGGAAAAAGTACTGAATGAAAAGTATCAAAGTATTGTTTTGTTTCTTATTTGTGAAAAAATAGATATATAATGAATGGCATGATCAGTTCACTTAAAGGAGCAGAAGTCTGGAAAGTGGTCCCTTTGTAAAACAAGCCTTGCGATTACATCACTGGTTCCATTAATTATGATGTGAAGGTGCAAATGGTGAATGGGGCTGCATGCTGTAACTCACATATAAAGTCACAAGGGTCTAGCAGATAAACATACAAAGAAACATGTGAAGAGGACTGACACTACAAGACACATATAGTATAAAACCTGACATTCTAAACCTAGATAATAACTGAATATGCACAATTTAAAAATATTGGAGGTCTGGGTCTTGAGGGTCTGAGAGTGCCATTCACTGTAATGAAGAGGATGAGGAAGGAACATAGGTTTAGGGGAGAAATAAAAATTTACATTTTGGACATGATATTTTAAGAGACTTAAAAGTCACTGAGGTCCTAATGGTAATGTCATAAAGATTGTTGAAAACATGAGAAAGGTGGTCAGAGGAAAAAGGTGGGAGATATATATATATATATATATATATATATATATATATATAACCAGCAAAGAGCTGAAGGAGGTCATCAAAGGAGAGGGGGTAGAGGGAGAAAAGAACTCAGAATCAGGCCTGGAAAAATTCCATATTTAGAGGTTGATACGGAAGAAGAGCCAGTAAAGGAAAATGAGGAATAAAGCCACAAGAGAACGACGCTGCTAGATTCAAAAGAAGAAACAGAGAAAAGAAGACATTGTTGAGTGGTCCTGAGAGCTCAGGAAGAATGAGGACAGAAAAGTGTTCACTGGTTTTGATAGCATGCAAGTCTTTGGTGTCCTTGACTTGAGTGGTTTTCATAGCCAGCCAAGGTGGGTACCATATCAGAACAAACTGCCTCGAGTCTCAAGGGTGAGGAAATTGCATTGCACAGAAATTGGTGAGAAGGTAGAGTTCTCTATCTTTTAATATAGGAAACAGAAGAGAATGTTTATATGTTGGTAGAAATTATCCTGTGCACCAAGACTGATGTTACAAGAGTAAGATCGTTACAGAAAGAGAAGTAACTGGGGCGCCTGGGTGGCGCAGTCGGTTAAGCGTCCGACTTCAGCCAGGTCACGATCTCGCGGTCCGTGAGTTCAAGCCCCGCGTCAGGCTCTGGGCTGATGGCTCGGAGCCTGGAGCCTGTTTCCGATTCTGTGTCTCCCTCTCTCTCTGCCCCTCCCCCATTCATGCTCTGTCTCTCTCTGTCCCAAAAATAAATAAATGTTGAAAAAAAATTAAAAAAAAAAAAAAAAAAGAGAAGTAACTGAGAATGTGAGGAAAAATGGGGTTTGGTTTGGCTTGACGTTGATAGGACTACTACTTGCCTCAGACTTAACATGGATAGGGGACCATTTGCTTCATTGTCACAAGAGGGAAGAAGGCCATGATTGATGCAGGAAAACTGAAGACCTTTATTTTCAGATCACCACCAGTATCCCATCGAAACAGGGCTTATTATCATTCTGCCATCGTTAGCACCTGTTATTATCACAAACAAGTCATTCTCAAAGTGCAGCCACAGATCCCTTTTTGAGCTCTAACAGGAGTTTCCAAAGTTGAGGTCAAAACTATTGTTATAATGATACTAATTTTTTTTTTTCTCTTTCACAAGGCTGACATATTGCACTGATGATGAGTAAAACTTCTGGCACCTTAGCACAAATCAAGGTAGCAGCATCAAAGCATACCCATAGTCATTATGTCTTTTACCACCACACATTCCCAGTATATAACACAAACAAAAGAGCCAGGTTCACATAAGAATGCTCTTGATGAAGCAAGAACAATTATTAATTTAATCAAATCTTTATTAAATTAAATTATGAATTTTTAAAATTAATAACTTGAGTACATGGATTTTTAATATTCCATGTGATGAATTGAGAAATATACATAAAGCACTTTTGCTGCATACTGAAGTACAACGGTGATCTCAAGGAAAAGCACTTGTGTGATTACTGTGAGCTTAACTCAACACCTTTTCGTGGAACACTTTTACTTGAAAGAACAATTGTCAGAGTAAGTATGGTTATTCAGATGTGGATATTTAGTAGGCATTCTCTCAAAAATGTCCCAAATATCCTGTCACTATAGGGAAAACATTTGACAGTATTTGTTGCCAATGATAAAATTCAAGCTTTCAAGTAAAACTAGAATTTTGGAAATTTTTCATTCATTACTGTAAGCTTGACAGTTTCCCAATATTTAGTCTTTTCTGAAGAGACTGGCAATGATATTAACATCAATTAAAAGCACTCATGAGAATATATATATATATACCTATATATTTTATATATGTACATATACATACATGTATATACATGTATATACATGTATATACATACATGTATATATATATATATATAAAATATATAGGTGTATATATATTCTCATGTGTATATATATAC